CCCCCAGCTAGAAGTTCTCAATCCCCCACACTAGCAGTCCTTCTAGTCTTACTAGTCTTCAAGTCCTTTCAGTCCTTCTCTTTCTCTTAGCACTAATAGAACTACTAGTTCTCTTAGTCATATTAGTTCTAATCCTACTGGTCCTTCTAGTCATACTATTCCTGCTAATCCTCTTAGACCTCATATTCCTCCTAGTCCTCTTAGTTCTCCTTGTGTTTTTTTTACATTATTATTATGAAAATTAAGAAAACAAGAGAAACTTCCGTTTTTTAGGTTTTGTATTGTTTTGTATTGTATCCCTCCAGCTCCTCCCCAGATAGAAATAATCTAGTTATCCAATGGAATAATTAAGTTTAGAAAACATTGTCTTACTGGAAAACAATATAAAAAGTAAATCGGAGCTCGAAACTTTCGTTTTGTTAATCTTAGGGTTTCCAGCGAACGAAACGTTTCGCGAAATAATGCGAAAGTTTTCTGTCGCACTTCGCAAACTTTTTCGCGAAAATGCGAAAACATTTTCGCGAAATGTCTGATGTCTCCTAGTTGTTATTAAATCTATATTTATATTTTGTGTTAATTCATCGAGACAGATGGCGGTAGGCTTGGTGACGTCACGGAGGCTGGGAAACCAGTTTTGCGGGGCATGGAGGTAATTCTGTAAATCCGAAGGCTCGGAGGTCATTTTTGCGGGGATCATGGCGCCTCTGCACCCCCTCCCTCCTCAGAGACACCTATTGGAGAATAACGGAACTTGAAAATTCTGTGATGAAGTCCTGAGAATTTCTCAGGAAATTCTGGAGAAATATTCCTGAGAATTTTTTTAGAAATTTTATGATAAAAATTTTAAAAAATTCCTGAGAATTTCTCGAAACTAAAAAAAGAAGGAGGCCAAGAATTAGCAAATTTACAGCATGAAATAACTGAAGTAGAGAGCTTTCCAATAATACATTGATAGTAAAAAATTTAAAGAAAATTGTTCCCCAGTACAGTACCCGATGCCTCATCGATTGTTAAAGTTATAAAAAAGTGTTCCCTCTGCAGTACCCGATACCCAAGCAACATTTTCTGTGTGACACCCTGTATATATCTGTGTCCGAAAATCTTCAACAACCACTGTTTACGTTTTTGATAATTTTGACATCAACCTCCAGTTTAAAAATATTTCTAAAAAAGCTAAGTTTGTCCATCTCTAGGACTGTCTAGACTAAAGAAGGACTTTGACCGAACAAAACCGGAAAAATTTAATACAGTTTTGATAACGGATGCAATAAGCTTGAATTTTAGCTGCTTTTGTGATAAACCCTTCCTTCCGCTGTACATATGTGGATATTCAAATTTTACTAACGGATTTTTTATAATTCCTTTGCCGCAGATTTAATGATAATTTTCTTTGAACATAAAAGAGAATGGAAAAATAAATAAAGTGTAAGCATTGTCATATTATTGAATCAATTTAAAAAATCTGGAATAGAAAGACGACATTTAAGAAATGTGTGAATAAAAAAATAACGTTTTCAGTAGCTTGAAAATAGGTCTGTCTCATAGACAGTATCTTCTCAGTGGTCTGTCTCTACACCATGCACATCATCATCATGATCATTGTACTATCTATAATCTGAATAGACTCTATTTTTCTCTTTTAAAAATAAATCCTAAACATACCAAAACACTAACTGAGTAAATATACGTTTCAAAAATATGGTTGAAAGATGTTTACCAGACATAACCGTAAAGGATCCAGATCAGAAGTTAGGAATTTATTAATAGAAGTTATGATGATTGTACAAGAAAAGTACGGGGGGTTGTTGAAGCTCGGGTTCTACAGTTATACAGGAAGATTGTCATCTTGGTTAAGATCGAGTTTTTCAGCTTAGCTGTAGTTTCTAAACCCTATAATAAAATAAAATTAGAATTACTGTCTTGTCTTAATACAGTTAAACGCTAAATGAGCCATACATCGAAAGAATTTATCAAATGTCGTCTTAACATTTTTTCAATGGGTTTTATACATTTTACGTAAATCTCAGTATTTGCGAAAATAAATAAATAGCCATAAATATGCGGGAACAGTTTTTAAGAGCTCCAAATAATCATTTAATTAAAAAAAACTAAATATCTGTACATTCCCAGGGGCGTATAAAAAGTAACATTTTCCACCAAAAGGCGCCCAAGTGGCGGATTTAAAAGCGAAAGTTAAAACTTAAATTTTTTAATAGGAAAGGGGGCTCTTTTAAAGCCTAGTGTTCATGATAAAAAGAAATCCAGCCCTCACTGAGAAAATTCCTTTATAATTTAGTTCTTTGATTTAGATCTGAAAAAGGTGTTAATTAATTTTGTTAAGCCTAACTCAAAGCATTGAACCTCGACTTCCTTATTAATTTTTATCATCCTTATTATTATTTATCTAGGTAAAGGGTATAAATCATGTTTCAACTGCTAAGTGGATTCAAATTCTAGTTAAAACACACATTGGATACTTCATCTCGTCCCCCTCAGTGATACAGGTAACTGTTATCATCCTTAAAGTTCCTTGCAAACTGGTATATTGAAGACGACATAAAACTAAACTGTTAAGATGTATTCAGGACAGATTGGGATATATAATTAAGAATTTAACACTAAAACTTAGGTAAATTACATACAAATGGAGTACAGTACATTTGTATGTGTCTAAAATTAATTCTAAAGATTAGAATTGATTTGTTGATCTTTTTGAATCTTTACAACCATAATAATTAAAGGAGAATTAATTCGGATTTAAATTTGAAATTTGCAAACTTAATATACGTCGTCTTCGATATGCAAGTGCTGATTTCTAGGTTTTGCCATCCACATGTAGTAAATAATTTCTATTTGTATGTGCTCTTGAAAAACTTTCTGGAATACTCGAGTCCCTTCTAGAAATCCTGGAGAAACTGTCTTAATATTCAAGTTTCTTTCTAGAAATCCTAGGGTAACTTTCTTGAATATTTGAGTCGCTTCAAAGAAATCCTTTTTGAATACTTGAGTCCGTTCAAGAAATCCTGGAGTAAATTTCTTAAAGACTCAAGTCCCTTTATAGAAATCCTGGAGAAGCTTTCTTAAATACTGAGTTTTTTTCTAGAAATCCTAGGGTAACTTTCTCAAATACTCGAGTCCCTTACTAGAAATCCTGGAGTAGTTATCTTGAATACTCGAGTCGCTTCAAAGAAATCCTAGAATAACTTTCTGAATAATCTAGTTCCTTTCTCGAAATCCTAGAGTAACTTTCTTGAATACTTATACCATTCTAGAAATCCTAGAGTAACTTTCTTGAATACTTGTATCATTCTAGAAATCCTAGAGTAACTCTCTTGAATACTTGTACCATTCTAGAAATCCTAGAGTAACTTTCTTGAATACTTGAGGACCCCTTTTTAGAAATCTTAGAGTAACTTTCTTGAATACTTGAGTCCCTTTATATAAATCTTAGAGTAACTTTCTTGAATACTTGTACCATTCAAGAAATCCTGGACTAACTTTATTGAAGCCTCAAATCCCTTTTTAGAAATCCAGGGGTAATTATCTTTTTTCCAACGGTGTCTCCATTCGGTAATGGGTTAATGGTTGATAGTGTACATAGAGCATATCACCGGAGAGTTCCTTTCCTGTTTTCATTTTCAATTTTTATTTTTTCTTAATTTCTCGCTTTTGGGTATCTCAGAGTTGCTATTAGTGAGGTCGAGTTCTTTGAACTTTGGGTAGTTGATAATAGGTGAGGATTTGCATATCAGGAATACTTGGTTAAAAACACTCCGGTTGTCCAGGTTTTATACTGTATTCCCAGTTTGAGTGGAATTTGAAAAGGGTTTTCCCATTGGAGTTGCACCGCATTACAAGTTCGGTAGTTGTGGCTTTGCAGCTCAGAATGTGGGATTTTTGACAGTAGTCCATTCTTCATAGTCGGCCAATTATCGCAGCCAGCAGCGTAAAACCCGGCATTATTGTGCATGGTTACCAACCTTGAAGGATTTTTCTGTTTTTCTTGTTTCTGGTGAGAGAAAGGGGAAGAATTGGCTAAAGACCTAAACTCTGTTCTAATAGTTTCTTTGTTTTCCTCTATTAAGGTGTAGTGCTGCCATGTTGATTTTACTCAGTGCTCTCTGGCTGTGTATGGGGCTCCAGCTAGTCAGAGCAAACTTCAAAACCGTCCTGTTGCAACCACACAACTGATTCTGATATATTTATAATCTAGAATATTCTGATATAGTTATGATCTAGAATATCCTGATACATATTTATATTCTAGAGTATTCTGATATATTTATATTCTAGGATATTTTGATACCCTTGAACAAAATTCTGATATATATTTATATTCTAGAATATTCTGATATATACAATATATACATTATACATATATTTTAGAATTCTGATATATTTATATTCTAGGATATTCTGATACCCTTGAACAACATTCTGGAACAGAGGACAGCAGACTATTTACAGATCAAAAGAGTAATATTTTTTTCCAATCTTATTAATGTCATTAACTTTTTTTTAGTTTCGAACATTTTTTTTCGTTTCTTTATCTGTTATTAACATTGGTTTTTATTTATCTTTCGTATCATTTTTATTTCATTTCATTTACTTAATTTCATTTATTTGGTTTTAGTTTTATATTTTAACAATATTTTTTTGTTTCTCTTTTTTCGTTCAAGATCTTTTTTTAGTTATTTTCAATTATGTTTTGCAATCAGTTATTCTTATCCAATTTACTTCTTTTTTATTTTAATTTTTAATTTAATTTTTGTTTTAATACAATTGTATTCTTAATTTTTTTTAATGGTTTAACTGTTTTTCCATTTACTTCTGTTTCAACATGCGTCAATACTAGGGAGGGGGTTAATAATAAATATGATAATTTATTTCAAACTAGATTGATTAATTCCATTACATTTTATGGTAAATGTATATCTATATATAAATTTGGCTTGTCTGTCTGTTTGTTTGTCTGTCTGTTTGTTTGTATCCAATAAACGTCAAAACGGCTGAACCAATCGGGCCCAAATTTTTTGTGGGATCTCACGGAGCCTCAGGGAAGGTTTATGAATGATCAAAATTTCAAATATTTGTCTTACTTATGTTTATTATACTATTTATATCAGATCTAGGTTGGGTAACAGATGATTATTATACTATTTTTATAAAATCTAGGTCGGTTAACAGATGATGAGTATACTATTTATATCAGATCTTGGTGGGGTTACAGACGATGAGTATACCATTTATATTAGATCTAGGTCGGTTAGCAGATGATGATTATACTAAGTATATCAGATCTAGGTCGGTTAACAGATGATATGATGATTATACTATGTATATTAGATTTAGGTAGGTTAACAGATGATGATTATACTAATTATATCAAATCTTGGTCGGTTAACATACGATGATTATACCATTTATATTAGATCTAGGTTGGTTAGCAGATGATGATTATACTAAGTATATCAGATCTAGGTCGGTTAACAGATGATATGATGAATATACTATGTATATTAGATCTAGGTAGGTTAACAGATGATGATTATACTAATTATATCAGATCTAGGTCGGTTAACAGACGATGATTATACTAAGTATATCAGATCTAGGTCAGTTAACAGATGATATGATGATATACTATGTATATTAGATCTAGGTAGGTTAACAGATGATGATTATACTAATTATATCAGATCTAGGTCGGTTAACAGATGATGATTATACTATTTATATCAGATATAGGTCGGTTAACAGATGATGATTATACTATTTTTAACAGATCTAGGTTGGTTAACAGATGATGATTATACCACTTTTAACAGATCTAGGTTGGGTAACAGATGATTATTATACCATTATTTCAGATCTAGGTCGATTTACAAATTATGACGTTCCTAAGTGTCTTATTTTTTTTATTTTTTACTTTATTTTTTCTTCACTTAATTGATTTCAAAAATTCAAACGCTTTCTAAACAGAAACAAAAAGTGTAGTTGAAAATTATAAATGACAGTCAGTCTGATTTCAAATATCTAGATCCCTTTCATGTAGTTATTATTCAGATTGTTTAGTGGTGGATGATGAAATTTTAACTACTGTCACCACACTTGAAGGTAAAAAACTTTTATTACAATTTTTGTTATCATGGGTTTCCTAATTATTGGATTGTTTTAGGGAGTGTTCTAATCTATCGATATAGTTTGTCTGTTACACGAAGCGCTCCGATCAAGTACTCAAGTTTGGTAGAAATTGCCGCTGAAGGGGACAGAAAAGTTACTAAGGAACGAGATTGCTCTGAAGTTTAAATTACATTACTTTATTTTTACAAGCAGCCTATCCTGTCTTAATGTCAGGCTTCTTAATTATTAGTAATAAAGTTTAAATGACGACCTTCTATTTAAAATTTAAATTTAAAATAAAGAGCTTCGTGGATTCAGGTTCATATTTGCGCCGGTATTTCTTTAAATAAAGATTCCCCTACTCTTCATATAGCTTATGGGTAAGATCTTTTAGATGTTTAAGAATTTATTTCTATTTAAAAAAAATTGTTTTTCTGTTTTTTAATTTGCCATTTCAGTACGTTTTGTATCTAAAATTGAAAAGTTAACACTCTGCTGCAGCGTTTTGTATCTTTTTTATGCAAACACTTTTTGTGAAGAAGAAAAAAACTTATCAACAAACTTATTATTTTTTTTCGGGGATTTTGTGTTTTAAGTTTTTGTTGACCGGTGAGTTACCTTTTGTCATTATGTTTTAGAATTGTGTTTTGAGGGCATATTTTTATTATAGTAATTAGATACTTTTGAGTAATTTTTATGTTAATTGGATCCTAATTAATCCATGATGCGAATCCAATGAAGTTGAATCCAAACAACATTTAGCTGTTTGCAGAAATTAATTAAGTTGATTGATATATCATTTATCCTCAATTATTAAAGTGCCCACAATGGATTTCGGAACTAAGCGTTAGTATTCTTTATGAATTAAAACTCTGGTTTGTTTAGCTCTGCATCTGCTCTCCAGATTGAAGAATTGAAGATCAATGAACTTAAGAAAACTCATCTTTTACCAAGATCTTCTCCAGTTCTAACACTAGGTAGGGTTTAACACAAAATAAGGTAAATAAGGATAGTTAGCTTTAAGCAATAACTAGATTTGTTTTACAGAATCTTTTAATATTTTTAGACTTTTAAAAAGTATTACGACAATCTGAGAAGGGTCCAACGATTTAAAAAATTGTATTTTGAGAAGTTTGCGTTTATCAAACATGCAAATTTGTTATCCTCGGTGAAAATAAAGGCAAGAATGAACCAAAAACTATCGTTTTAAACTTCCCAAAACGATAGTTTTTGCGATATATTTTCTAATAATTTTAAAAAACTTATTCTGAAAACGTATCTACCCCCAAAGGAGGAGTTTTGAACGTCGAATTTGCGCTCAAACTCAGAATTTTCAGATCTTTAACAAGTTTTATATGTCTTAAATAAATCCTAAATAAGCTTTCCACAACACTGCATACTTAGTTCAACTACCTTACATAGCCGGTCNTCACCAAAAAAAATCGATCGAATTTGTTTGGTATAACATTAAATTTGATGGCCGTAAACCTTACTCATTACTTAATTCATAGCAATCAAAACGCTAATTAGATATCCGTTAAAATGAGTTTGCCAGAGCTGAAAACTTAATACCGATCGCGAAAAAATGCGAAATTTAGCGGAAAAAGTTTGCAAAATACGAACGAAAATGTTCATTTTCGCATTTTTTCGCGAAACTTTTAAAACTTGGATTAAGATTAACAAAAAGAGGAGATCAAGCATCGATCTCGATATCCACAATTCTAAAGTTTTCAGCTCAGATTATTTTCCCCCTAAAAAAAGGAGATCATCCTAATTAATTTTTCCCGCACTTCAGAACTGTATAAGTTACACATTGCTGATATTTTGTGTTAATGTAGGCGCACCAAGTCAAATGTACGGCCAACATATCCTGGAGAACAGAACTTCCGGAAAGAAGAGGAAACAGGAAATAGACGAGGAGAACATGACAATAGGAAACTAGATAAATAAATATTTAATGTATTTTTGATAAATTTTAAAAACAAAAGCACAATTTTGAAGAAAGGGACGAATTTAAATTAGTAAAATAAGACAAAATTGACACCTTTCAGTTGAAGGAAAATAGACGAGTATTTTGAACGGAAAAATTGTAATCAATAATCCTTTTATTACGATAACAATCAGCCTCGACTCAATCCACTTTAAATAGTCTCTGATAAAGGTTATTTTATTTTGCGGGCGTTGAAATTACTTAATCGTTTTGTCTCCTCATTAAAAAAGCTTCCACAATATGCAATAATTGATAAATTGATAAACCCATTGTTGTGATGTCACTGATAAAAGACATCCAATAGTATTAAGTTTTGAAGAAAGGTGCATTTGATTAGTTGAAAGGAAGACGACATTGCATCGAAAGTTTAACAACGCGTTTAATTACTAACAGTTTTATTTTTTTTTAAACATTTAGTAAACTGTAACTGCACGCACGGGCTTAATATTACAAACTAACATTGAGTCTTATCTATAATTTTTTTTATAAGTTTTATCCAGAACTTCGGAGACATCAATAGAATTTATAAAATGTCGTTTTCTAAACCTATAATTAATGGAATGCTGCAGATATTAAGCTTTTTAATTGCATTATTATATGGAGTACTTTAAAACTGTTCCCGCATTTTCATTGATTTTTTTACAATCAATAAACTTAAAGTTTAGGTAAACAAGTATTTAACCAATGAAAAGTTGTCAAGACGACATTTGATTGGTTCTTTCGATTTCTCCAAAGCTCTGGGTTAATCTGTACGATAATACAAGTTCCGGAGCTCACATTAAACGTCGTAGTAAATTGTTGGCAAATCTTACTTTTCTTTACAAACGTTATAATTGAATAAATAAAACATTTTGAAAAATATTTTATCTTGCAGAGGAAAGGCTGGATTACCTGAAACTAAATCAATCTAAGGAACATTTATATTTTATATTCATAGAATCATTTATTCCATATTCAATTTTTTAATCTTTGAGAACTTCTGTCTTTTCAATTTGTCCACAATTTCATTCAGTTTCCCCCATAGCTTAATATTATATTGATATAATTAATGATGCGGATGAAAATGATAAATAAATGTTGATGAATTTTCTAGGCAGTATTTACATTTCACATGTAGATGGATATGTCTGGTTCACATTGGTACCCTTTTGTACCTTTGTATCAAGGATGACTGATGACTGAGATATCTTTTTCAAGCTGAAAATTAAGAGCCATGTGTAACCAAGTGTTTCATTTTAAATCATGCTCCGAGCCCGTTGAGAAATGAAAACCCTTATTTGATATTGTATTTAATATTTGGAATTAGTTTGAAAACAAATAAACTGAGTCCTGAAATACCTAAAATTCATACCTTACTTTAGAACCCTATTTGGGATATTGCTAAAGATCAAGTTTTGGGATTGATAATGAATTTAGGGGGTCCATATAATTCCATCCAATACGATCCCAAACGTTGATTGATATTAGGGGGTAGAAATTAACCATGTTATCGTAAACAATTGGAAGTAAGCCAAGTTGTTGCTTAAGTTCACAAGGACACAGAAAGGGAATTCTATTACTTAATTCATAGCAATCAAAACGCTATTAGATATCCGTTAAAATGAGTTTGCCAGAGCTGAAAACTTTATAATTGGATACCCTTAATACCGATCGCGAAAAAATGCGAAATTACGCGGAAAAAGTTTGCAAAATACGAACGAAAATGTTTTTTTCGCATTTTTTCGCGAAACTTTCGTTCTACTCTGATTGGTTAAATTTTAAAAACTTTGATTAAGATTAAAAAAAAAGAGGAGATCAAGCATCGATCTCGATATCCACATTTGTAAAATGTTCAGCTTACAGTATTTTACTCCTAGAAAAAGGAGATAATCCTTATTATTTTTCCCGCCCTACAGAACTGTAGAAGTTACATAGGGGGTGGGTTACTTTGTGATTTGTGTAGTCTTCCTGATTTTACTAACATAAGGAAAACTAAAACCGTAAAATGCAGAAATATAATGGTAACCAATGTAACTCTGTACTCAATTATGGTATTAGGGGGAAATCAACTGAACTAAACAAAAAAAATTCCATGAACAGTGAATACTGTCTTTGATTTTACACGAGGAGGTTTCATTTCCCTCAATAATCTTTAAGAAATTTTATTTTTAACCGCTTGGAATTAAAATGCACGTTAAGGATGCTCGTTCAAAATGTGATATTCGGACAAAAGACCGCACATATTATTTTGATAATAGGTATGAGAACGCACATTAATTATTGTTATATTAGGATATAAGGAGGCATATTAGTGTGATATTAGGATATGAGGCCCCACATAAGTGTGATATTAGGATATGAGGACGCTCATAAGTGTAATATTAGGATATGAGGACGCACATTAATTATTGTGATATTAGGATATGAGGACGCACATTAATTATTGTGATATTAGGATATGAGGACGCACATTAATTATTGTGATATTAGGATAT